ATGGCTTTCTTGTTGGATTGTTTTATTTATTTTCGGTAAGTGTCCAGTTCGCGAATCTATTTCTATTTTGTTGTACATTATTATAGGAGGTTTTTTCGCCACGCAAGGGCTGTTGCTGTTGCGGCAGAGAAATTACGAATTACGCCGCATGTGCTTACGTATGGCAAGCAAATTTCAAAGTTAAATTCCGTCGACTCGGAGTTTGAGTATACACGTCGCGTGTTTTCATCTTATATCCACGGTTAAGTCATGTGTGTACAATAAACCCCTTTTAGCTTTTGTCTTTCCACCGTTTCATCTCTGCTTATTCAGTCACATATACATGCACAAATATATATGTATACATGTATGTAGCAAGTAAAAATTCAGTGTTTTAGCTAAAAACACCATTTTCATATGGCATATAAAATTCTAAAAAATATGTACAAAAAGTGTCAGCGCAAATGTGTTTGTACAGATGTGCTCAAAATAATAGTAGGGCGAAGATTACTAATATCACTGAAAATATCTGGGACGCGGCCTTACGTTCCCTAGTTTCGCTAGACCTACCTAGATTGGAATAGATTAGACTAAACTTGCTAAGGTTAAAATGAAATGGAAGATTATTAGTTCGCTCAAGTCTTCGCTCAAGAGGCTTGCATCAAAGCCTTTTGTCTTGCTGTTATCGAAAAACAGCGGCCTCATTCGGGTTGTTCAAGGTTACCAAAATGGCTCAACTTGTTGGTCTAAGTAATGGCTATTGCTGCACTCGACTTATACTTATTACGAATGTTAAGACGTCGATTTATCTGTGTGGTTCGTGTATTCTTTCCATGTGAATGTGTGCTCCATTTGTTAAAATTTCGTTGCATGAATTCAACAGACAGTTGATTACACCTATTTTAAGGACGCTACTAATTTTTTGAACGCATGTATGAATACAAATACTCTATACTGCGACATGAGCTTCTATACATATATATGTAAGTGACAATGTGGGCACTTTTTGAGACGTAAAATAAACTTTCGCTCAAGACGACCAACATTTTCGAAAGCCTGTCACTGAGTTAAGCTGCTATTCTATGGTAGTTTGTGTGATCATGGAAACAAGTAAAGGCAACTTGGCCAGCAGCGACGTAGAGGTTTAATTTTCTGATGGTCATTCAGCCAAGTGGTTCGTTTTTCTTATTCACATTTTAGATTTTGTTTAAGTATCTTCCAGCAGTAGGTGGACTATGTTTTTGTTGCGATGTTTTGTTCAATTTTTGTGTTCTTTTTTTTTATGTTATTTTGTTTTGTATTTCGTGACGGCGGCCATCCAGCTGGATTTCGCTCAGCCACCGCACACATGTCATTGACTGAATTTACCGTAATACCTCATACTCTCATAGTCAGCGGTTGCGTTGCGTTGACGGCATTGTAGTAGTAACCATCGGAGAGTTCTTACGGTTTATATTATAAGGTAAAGACGAGGGTGGTTATAAAAACCTTTGTCAATAAACGTATACATATACATCTATATACAAAAGCCACTGTCTGTACCATATAGGTTTTTTCGCGAAAATTTTCGCCTTTTCACAAAATCGATGAATAGGAAGCAAGCAGAGACATTTCATATGAAAGTAAGTACCTGTGTGTTTCGTTATCGTATAATCTATTGTATTTGAACGTTGAAGTGTTTGTCTGTGCTGATGTTGGTTCAATAATCAATAAAAGCATTTCAATTTAATGTTACGCTTGAGAATGAAATGAGGGATGGATGGACATTCAGCCTTTTTTAACACAAATGAAGGATGATAAGAAGCTTTTATTAAATTTCGAAATAATCCCAACTTAAAGCTTGATATTCGTCTGGTCGGTGTTTCTGTCAAAGGCAATCAATTCTCTTTGTTTCTTTTAAAGTTATTGTTGTAAAATCTTTTGTAGATTCTTTCAGAAGAGTTTAGAGGTTATGTTCCGAAATTTTTGGGTCGTTCAATATAAACTTAAATATTTAATAATGGAATAGTATGTTCAGCGATCAGTAAAAACTTTTAGCACGCATTTGCACTGACGTTTAATGTACAAAATTTTAGCACAATTAAGAAGGGATAAATAAATAGTTTCGGATAAGAGGTACAACGGTTCCGCAAGATTTTCGTTTGTTTCGAAGATTCAGTTTTCTTCGAAGATTACATCGTAGATTTTCAAACACAAAAATTACCTATTGGTCATGAAATTTTTTTTTACGAAAATTTCTCCCGGCAATCGTTTCAGTAAAGTCTCCTATCGAATTTGAATCTTTGTTATGCTTATCTACCAAAAACAGAGGAACACCGCGTATATCAGATCAAAAACAACTTAAGTACAATGCAACATCAAGTAGACGACCTATGTTGTACATAACAGGATTTTTTTTTTGTGTACGCCGTCTATTCAGTCAATGCAATGCTTATGAGGAAAAAAGCTACGAAGAAATAATAAGAAAACAAGTATTTAAATCAATTCGCTTTGACTTATCTTGCGTTTATAGGGAGAAGGCCTTTGTAAGAGCAGGCTTTTAGTACAAGTACGTCAAGGATAATTTTGTTGATTTCAATCAATCCTTCCACTTAAAATCATCAAAGTTCGCGTTGCACTCATATCATTAAGTGATTAATTTCAACTTATAAACATATGGTTTTTGGCTATATATAAACATAGAGTCAAATAAGGGAAAATGAAAAACAATAAAAAAGTGAAAAAACACCATTCACGGAACAAGCAAATTGTATTTTCATCTGCCCCTACGATATACTCTTTCTTTTCCGTCATTTGCAACGAACGACTGCGTCATTTTTGTGATGAGCAACAAGCCGAACAACATACAGTAATGTTGCATTATCGACCACTAATTTATCACAAAAGCACAAAGATGCATGAAAGCGTATGCGATGAAATGAAAGTTTCTTCAAACAACCTCAGCGTAAAAGTGTTATTAACTCACTCCCTCCAATTTTGATTCCACATCTAAATTATTGCGCATTTTAGGGTAGTTAGATAAGTTATTTATAAGCACAGGAGCACCTATTAAGCCGAAAAACTCATAGAAATGTTTCCAGGACAGATTGCATTATATGGATGCCATTGAGCTCAAGTAAGAGGGTAGCGGATCGCCAATGTTGTAGCGAAATGATGTATCCTCGTTATTTGATCTTGCGTGGTACAAGTAATCACAAGCGTCTTGTTTTTGTAGATAAGAATAATAAGAAAACTCTGTGTTGTAGAAAGAAAGTCCTCAATCATCAAGAGACGAGATAATTTTTGTAGAATATCGGCCGGAACGTAACAACGGCGACTAAATGCGTCTAAGAACATAATTGAATTCGATCGTATAAAGTTATACAACATAGCAGATAAGAAAAGTAGTACGACTCTAGTGAAAGAGTGGAACGAAGAAACGAGAAAACTTGTGAATTACAGAATACGAAACGGTACAGAAAAGTCAAGAAACTATTGAATTGAGTATCCGTTCTTTTAGGATAGAAATGCAACGGAAATCTCTAGATTATTTTAGTGAACTGCTGGAATAACAAATTTCTTAGGAAGCGATCTCTGCATAGGGTTAACCCCAGGTAAGATAACAGTGCCATTCCTTATAGCTTATATAACTTCCTTGAGATCCTTCTTCAAGATGCAATCAAAGGTACGACAGAACAGCACATTGTCTGAATAAATTTCGAAAGAATTATATTACTACCGCCCTGAGGACATCATTCGATACCAAAGCACATTTGCAGATGATCCCACGCACTATTACCGAGTATGCCATCGAATTGCTTCGATAATATTGTTACGGTAATCCCAAACCCAGTTCATTCCGGATAATTGATTTTCCCAAATTATAAATTTCCTAGAGAGGGAAAAACCAAATGCAAATACGCGGCGCCTCTTGATTAAAAATGAAGCCATGAACTTAGATAATAGTAATATGCTCGTGAAAATGTGGATAAATAGACTATTTGTGGAAGGCAGAGTCAGTCGAACAAGAACATTTGAGTCGAAAAAGGATATTAGAGTTGAGAAGTCGAGAGTACTGCCAAAGCAAAATGTAAATAGTTCTACCCTAAACGAGAAGTGCATTTCTCTTGAAAAAAATATCCAATATCCTATCTTATAAAACCGAATTTCATAACAATATATTAAAGAGTCGTAGAACAGATTTTTGCTTTATAGTAATTCAAGGCAAATAAATTCTTCAGACTAGTGTTATGAACGGATGAGGTAACCGTTAAGCTACTTAGCATTACCAGTAGAGCAGAGCTCTCAGTTCTTGAATGTAAATTGAACAAGGTTTATTGCGTCATAGCATTCTTATATTAATATGCAGCATATTCCAGGAGAGAATAGAACATTTTACATTTTTAGCTTTGCCTGGCAAAAGTTTGACCTTGTACAATAAAACAACGGTCTTCGTTATTTAACTGCTTAGAAAGGAGACTACTAAGCAAGTTTCAATAAGCGAGTACCTTTTCTAATAATGGCGTCTTTTCAAAAATTTCGGCAACAACCTTCAGTTTTATACAACATTTTGGCTTATAATGGACAGATGGACACACAAACATATCGAGACCTATGCCGAATTCGATACTAATCAGGAATATATGTGTATAGGATCGCTGACTCAATATATCTGTCTGTGGTTTATCGCTTTGGGATCGGTATTTTGGGAATGGATACTTTTGGCCACATTATCTTGTTAATGATTTTTCCGGAATAGTGCAGAGCATGTACCAAAAGGAGGTAATCTGTCAAGTTGTGTTAATAAATTCTACTTTATGAGTGATCACATAAATTTTGAACATACACACACACACACACACATACATGAACTTACCTTAAAATATAGCTGTTTCAAGATTTCGTAATGTGCAAGCAATTATTTTTTCTCATAAAAAATTGATGTATTAATCAGAATGAATTTTAGATTAGTAAAAGTAATTAGCAAAATAAAAAAGAGAGAAATTAAAAAAAGATTGATAGAAAAATAATTGGTTTTAAATTCAATCAGTGGTGACTTTTTTAATGGCCCGGCGTAATTTTCGCGACGTTCTCTTCTCACTTGGTTTTTCTTGCTCTTTAATCAAATTTAAACGCGGATCATTTATTAGCGATTGCTTAACTGTCTCATATTTTTTCTGGGCTTCTTCATGCGTTATTGTCAAACGTTGCTGGACCATACGTTTATTTAAATTAATCTGCTTTGCCTCTTGAACCAATTGTTCATAGTCGAAATTATTGAATTGATTTTCAAATTTATTAAGGAAACGTTTCAATGATTTTGATTCGGTTATTAGCTATTAAACAAAGTGTATATTTTTTTAATAGTTTAGTAAAAGAAAACAGAAATTCTATTAAAAAACTTACATCCTCGTATTGACGTTGAAGATCGTTGAGTAGAAAAACGAAGCGTGATTTTAAATCGCTTAAGCATGCTTTATACGCAGCCCATGATTCGTCGTAGGTTAAGGCGCGATTTTTATATATGACCAAGTAAGGAGCCAAAAAATCGGCCGGTTTCGTTTGCACATCACGTTTGTAAGCGTCTTCTTTCTCTTTCTATGTAAAAAGAAAAGAAATAAAACACTTTCTTAACGTGAATAAATTTATAGAAATTTAATGCACTTTGTATTTTAATCAGGAAATTTAATTATAATCAAACAATTATTGCTGTTCATGTTATTATTGTTGGTTTGTAGGTGTCGCTGCGTATGTATGTTGAATAAATTTCTATTGCTTATTTGCTTAAATGTCTGATTATGTATGTCAACGAGTTAATTAAGGAGTCATTGCACTCTTTGGCTCATTAAAGTTCAAGGTCCCATGATTCATTAGTTATTTGAGTATGTTTGACTTTAATGAAGTTGAAGTTTCAGTTATGCACACTCTCGCACTAACACTAATGCACACTAAGCCATAAAGTCGTATAAATATAATTATATGAGTGAACATATATACGTCTATGTAGATATATATATATATAGGATATGTGTGTCAGCAAAACTTACTATATCGACACAATTGTAATGAGGAAAACATTAGTTGACGTGATATTCGGTCATAAAATACGAACGTGTACATACTTAAAGTAAGATAATTATGTATTTAAATGTATATAAATGTGAAATGTTATATATATATATGTTGTGGAATGTTTATATATATATATATATGCGAACGTGTATGAGCATGTATGTAACACTTTCATTGACTTTCAATCTATCATTAAACCGTATAAGTATATATAATAAGGTATTTATATACAAACACTCTTTATACATCTCTACATATATATATTTATGGATATAACAAACTTATAATACATATTATATAGGTCTGTTTATGCAGCTAATGCAACACCAAAGGCAACTAATTATATGTAAATGCATATCTCAAGGCACTATGTATGTGTACATATGTATGTATGTTCATGCACATGGTTGAAAGCACACCTACTCCTTTACCAACATCTACACCTTTAGTCTATAGGTTAATGGTGTCTGTGATTGTTTTTGCTTGTGTACACATATGCAGGTACGAAAGGCAAGTACATAATGAGGGAGAAATTCAAATTAAATTCATAATGTGACTGAATAAAAATGCAACAAGTGCATAACCATAATAAGTTCAAATATAATGAGATGATTTTCAATATGCACATAATCTTTCCTATGCATACATATATATATATATATATATATATTAACATATGCATATATTATTTACCTTTTCTAGACGACTGTTTCTGGCTGCAGCATTACGTAAACCATCAAATATACAAAATGTTAATACAGGATTCTCATGCTCAAATCTACGCTGATCCAATATTTGATTATTTTCTTCTACAATCTTTTCAAATTGCTTTATGATTTTTTCTTCATAATTCAGTTGAGCCAGCATTAGTCGGTAGACTTCCAATTGCGTAGGATCAGGATCAGCGGCGTTAGCCTTATGTGATATTTACAAACAATTTATTGCCTTTAATTAAAATACTTTCTTTTCCTAGCATTAAAAATTTTATATATACTACCTACCTTATAGAGTTTCACTAAACTCAAATCGAATACAATTTCTTGACCGTAATCCGGCTTGGGCGGTTTCGTAAATTCACATGTGGATGCTGTTAGAGCACCACGAGCATAATGAAATTTTAATGTAATTTTATGCGACAACAATAAAAATGATCGCACAGCTATATCCTTATCGGCGGGTAAATTATGATTGCGATGGAATTTCTCAACAATTTTCTATAAAAAAAGAATATGTTTTTTTTAATACAACGGAAAACATTGTAGTCGGGCTAGGCTGACTTTTAAATACCATACCCAATGTTGTCTAAGACAATTCATATGTTTGCCGTAGAACACAAAAATTACTCTGCGGTACCCTGCTTTTACACGAACTTATTATTATGAAGCTCTATATGAAAAATTACATCTGTTTGCAAATAAAGGCTTACTTTCCGTAAGAATGGTTGTGCCCAGGAGGCTCAAAAAATTGTGGGTCGGTAAGTTCAAAATACAGCGCCCTAAAGAAGGCAAATTTGCGGGAAAATCCTTAAATAGGGTAAGATACAAAAATCGGCGTACGTGGTCCAAATTTGGTAGAGTTAATTTTTATATAAAATTGCCTTTATGAGTTAATTTTCATCATAACTTAATAAAATTTAGACTTTTCTGTCCTATAAAGGTATTTTTGACAAGACATTTTCCAAATTGCAATTTCATCCATGTAACGACTTTCCAAAATGCTCCACTTTATAAGTAGTGATCGAAGAAATGGATCGACCCAAATCATTTCGAATAGTGTTCGTCATTGGGCCAAAACACATCATTGTACCAAATTTCATGAGAATATCTTACGAATTGCGGCGTATAGCTTGAACACAAACTTACACGGACAGACAGCAGACGGATAGACTGACAGACAGGCTTAGTTCATTTTCTGGATCGATTTATATAATAAAAGCTGGATCTATCTTAAGCCTTTCTGCGCGTTACATCCGTCCGCGCAAACTTAACATATTTCGTACCACAAGTGGTGTAGGATATAAAAACGAAGTCGCGTAAACAATAAATTTATATAAAAACACTAATTCTTTAAAACATTGCATTCACTTTTCTGATGTTGAAAATTTTTAACATTTCGTAAGTAAAATCTATGTCAATAGTACCTAAAACTTAATTGGACTGATATTTGAACTTTCAAGCTCCTATTCATATTTAAATTCTTCTTAGACTAAACTAATTACGAATTTAGTGCTTCTAGAATTTTAAAAAATATAAAACATTCTACTCATTCTTATATTGCAAAGAATTTGCAAAATTGTAAAACAGTGGTGGTTGTATTGGAGGAAGCCTATAAGTATTATTCGAATTTTTGTTTGTTCTATGAGAAAAAAAAGAGTTTTTATTAATTGATATAATTCATAAGATTTGGTGCGAAGAATCCGCCTGGGTTTGAGGGTTGCGAGCATAAATTGGGCGGGCTTATTAAGGTTACCTAACAGCTCGTAACCGATCACGGTTAGTTAGGAGAGTTCGTCATCTGCTCTAAAATATTAAATTTCTCCTAATTCGCGACATCAAAATCACTTGAGCTACGTATGGTAGTCTGTTTACAGTAAAACAGTTTAAGACTATTAAGAGAAAAATTGACCATGCCCAGCAAGTTTAATAGTGCAACAAAATTATATTTTTTTCAACACTTTTTGAAACGTACAAGAGATAGCATACACAACCCCATAAAGTATATACATTTTTGGCCACTTTCAAATTCGGAAAGCTCCTTAGCATGTTTGCGTGGTAGTTGCTTCGTTTGTCCATCAATGCGCCTGGCCAACTATGTAGTACCGGTGATATGGTAAAGTAAAGATATTACAAATTGGGAAACGAATTTGGAAATGGCCTAAACGGGTTAAAGGACACACCTGCAACGCCCACACGCTTATGCAACAAAAATTGCGAATACATTTGCTTGCCGGGTTTACTACTTATTACTCATAAAGTGCAACACATACACCATATAAATTTTTACTTGTATTCTGAAAATAGAAAAAATTAGCCGCGCCCACCCCATATTAGAGAGCGGTTTTCTGGAGAGTTTTTTTAAGATAACAGTGATTGGGGTAAAAGATTCGGTCATAACCGTTCCTCGTTTGTTATTTATTACACTAATATGATCTATTTTGTCCAGTTACTCTGCCGATAGCAAGAAAAGTTTTATGTAATTATAATATGCCTGGGGCTAGTATTGATTGCAGTGAACTCGTTTTGTATATCTGTTACTACAACACAATGGTTGAGTTGAACTTATTTCGTCGAAAAAGGTGAGTTTTTATTTTACTGAAGGCCACAAAGATTGCGTCGCACTTTGCGTTGCGTTTTTCGTTGCAAGCCTTCCGTTTCACTGGACAGAGGAAATATATTTTCTGTTATTCCTTTAATTTAAAGTTGTCTACTAATTAATTTGTGGAAGAAGGGAGGGGATCAATTATGATATCGAATCCACTAATAAACAGTCGTGATAATCAAACTCCCTTGTCGTAAATAAATAGAAGTTGAATCTGAGGGTGCTAATCAGTTCAGTTAATTCAGTTAATCAGAACTTAAAACAGAAACGACGATCAAAACTCAAAGCCGTTGCAATGTTTCCGAGGCAACGTAGTGCAGCAAGAAGGAAGCTTAATATAAACTAATACAGAAACTAAGATAATTATATATCACCCCTTTCGGCCTTATCAATAGTAAGAATGTAATGTTATTGTTGTCGCATATCACATTTCATCCGCCTCTGGCCTTTTATCTCTTTTCAAACTTCAAAACAACTTTTGCGTTCTAATTGCTTTTTGCCCAATTACAAAGCTTTAGCATATTTTTCAGATGAATGCTTTGAAATTCCTAAAGAATGAGGTAAATATAAATTGAAATATATTGCAGAATAAATGCATTCCAATTCGTTAATTCCTGTTGATCCATTCTACGATCCGTTCATAGTTCTTCACCCACATATTTCGATAAAATGTTCATTCAGTTTTCCCTACAAATGTAAACATAAATAAACATAAAAGTTTAGAAAAGTACCTTTAAAAAGTTGGAATTTGCTTTAAGCTCGAATAACTGATAATAACAGAAATCACTGCGTTCCTTGTATTGCAACGTTACGGAATCCGTTTCGATTCTTAGGTAATACAGAGAATCTAAGCGAGGTGCGGAGTAAAAATACAATTCTTTGCCTCTATGTTTATCACTGTAATACATGGCTAAAAGGAAAAACCAAGAAAAAAATAAATAAATAAAAAACAAGTAAGAAAGTTATATTCGGCGGCGGCCGAATCTCGCATGCCCACCTCTACGCTTTTCGCACTGTACTGTCCAAGTTCTTTTATAGTATTATTAAGGAAAAATTAGCTGCGGTGTCGATCATATTCATTTTAAAATTAAATCATTTTTAGGCAGATAATATTATCGAATATCATTTGCGGAGTGTACAACACATAGTTTTAAACGTTTTGTCGTGTTTGCCTTATGATAAATAAGCCTTAACCCCCAACAAGGTGAAGAAAATTTACTTAAATTATTCGTAACTTTATGTGAACCCGGACGATTGGTTTCACTTTTTGGGCCTAAAGTGTAAAGTGACTCCTAAAGCAAATGTAAAAAATTTCAACGTTCTAGCTTTAATAATTTCCGAGGAACGAGCAAAAGTCTTAAGACTTTTGTTAATAAACATTGAACTACGTTCAGTTTACGCTCAATTGCGTGCTTTTGCTCCGACTAATTTGGTCCAATTTCAATACAAACCAGCGTGCGGAAACTTCCAATGTTTCTAACTAACTTGCAGTCGATATCTTCATTTTTGCGACCAGAAGAGTACCAAACACGCACAGACGGACGTACATGGCCAAATCAACTCAGAATTTCATAATGATCACGGATACATATGCTTTATAGGCCCTCTAAAGCTTCTTTTTGGATGTTACATATATTTTGGAAAATAAACAAAATGAGTTTACCCCCATGTTACAGCAGTAGATATAAAAATAAATAAATAAATAAAAAATAAAATTGAATTTTTTCCCTTTTTACACAAATTTAACACATTTGCAGAGTATGCATGCACACCTTTCAAACTGTCATTACGTCCGATGGCAAAGTTTTCTTCAGTTTGCGATGTCTCATAATTATATTTGATAGATATGAGTTTGTCAGTGCGATTTTCAAAGAATTCCCAATGTTCAGTTGGTTGATTGTATTCATCATCTGAGTATAAAGTTAATTGCATAACTTTGCCAGTTCGTTGCGAGTACGGAGAGTAACGTTCATGTTTGGCTTTCTGATAATAAACAGTTTTTTCAAGTTTGGGAAAACGTTCCTCAAACTCTTTCGCACCGATATGCAATTTCATAACCCATGACCGTATAGTATCTAAATGGTGTTCGTCTTGAATAGGATGCACTAAATCGGCCAGATTTTCATCAGAATATACGACATAAGTGCGCATTTCTGGCGGCTCGCCAGGTAAAATGTGCTCCCAATCCGTCGTATCCCGCAAGTCCCAACGTATTTCGCTTAATCGTTGATATTCTTGTTTATTAACATAATAATTATATTGATTCCATACACTATCGATTAAAATATATTGCTTGCAATGGGTTTCGCAGATGAAGCCGGTCGATGGTTCGAAAAAACGTGCCGCAAGCATTTTTGGACTAGCATCAGTTTTGTGAACAGCCTTGACGGTAACCCAAGGAGCGTTATCGAGAACGACAACCCAAGCATGAGATCTACGAAAGTGATATTTGTCGACGGGTTGTAATTCTAATTCCTGAAAATTGATTTCAGTTATATTCTCAAGTTTTATTACAATTCATACAGGGTTCCTTCATAAGTACGCCTTCTACAGAGGACACATGGCATGTCGTTTATTTTAACTTTTGTCTAAATTTTCTCGCTTCAAAATTATATCACAGAGTTTTATTTAGCTATGAACTATAATGGTTCGGACACCGGCAGGAATTTCGAAAACTCGTACTACTTTTCGCTAATGCAATTTGGAATAGTTTTGTACACTTTATAAACCTCTCTCAGGTGAATAGAATTCAGAAGAAGTGAACACAGCGTTGAATCGGTAAACAAGAATGGTGGTGGGTTACTTCGTTCAAAAACTCTGAGCGTCCGCCTCTCTTCACTTAAGTAGTGAATGGCGATTATACCCAACCTAATTACTGAAAATGATCTCTAATTTATATAGAGGAAGGTGCAGGTTTTCATTATGAAATCATTTCACTTAAGCTTATTTTGCCTTAAGATGTCTTCCGTTGAGGAAGAGCGTTTTATGAGCGACTTTTACAGAGAAGCATGAAGGCTGCTCGAACAAAACTATTTTTAGCGATGGCGACGTTTAGCCCAAGCGCTCTATCGACAGGCCGAAGCCTTATGGACGTGATCTCCAATCTGTACAGAGAAAACTGCATGGCTGTCAATGCAAATCCTTTTCTGGAGGTTACTTTTGGATCAAAGACCACCAAATGCCATTGAAACCACAAAATAAATTTTATAGTATGCTTTTGACGTAGTTATTTTTAACCCCTACGTGAAAAATTCTTTCTCATTTTAATTTTCATTAACCTCTAGTGTGCGTTGTAAAGCCTCATCTTTTATTTTTTGTTCCTCCGCTTCCTTTTGCATTAACAGCTCGGCCATATTCTCTTCCAAATGACTCCTTAAGTCCGGCAATGGTCGTAGCTTGTATTTCGAACCAGTAGTCGGTTTTGCTTTTTGCTCTTCCTCAACTTTTGGAGGGGGCATTTGATAGGGATACGGTTTCTCACGCAGATCGCATTCAACGGTCTCGGCTCGCGCCACTCCAGATACGACAAATGCCTGAAAACCGGCACCTAATAGCATACTGCATAAAAGTGTAGCCATCTCGAAACTGTTGCCTTGACGTCGTCTCAGTAACGATGCCGGCGATATTAAGCGTGTGGGCTGAAAGTTAATTAACAACACAGAGAAAAATTAACGGGTATATTTTATATTTTCATGTCAATATATATGTAAATATGCATACATGCGTAAATACTGTTGCATTTGTTTTTTTATTATTATTCCACACATATATTTATATATATATATATATATATGCTCTGTAAAAATCAATAAATTGTATTTCGAAAATGGAGACATTTCTCTGGAGGCAACATGATGATGAGATAATGTTTGATGTACCATGTTTTTGTTGCTATTTCTCTATTTTTTATTTTTTCTATTTTCATTTAGCTCTGCAAGATGTACCCTTTGTGTGAGACGATGTCTATCCATGTGTGTACCATTTCTTCTTCTTCTTGTTCTTGTCCTTTTGCTTTAGCTGCAATGGTAATATGTAGATGATTGCAATCCCATGTAATGTAGTGTTGTTGTTGTTGTTGTTACTTTTCTTCTTGTGTCCATTCGTTGTTTAGTTGGAAAAAAAATATATATTCCTTTTCTCTAAAATTTATTTCGTTCTTTTTTTTCTTTTTTTTTTTTGCATACTATTGGCAGAACAAAAGCAATCACTATCAAAAGCAGAGAAAGGAGCAAAAAATAGGAAAAAATACAAAAAAAAGAAAAATAAAAACAACACGAAGAGTTTTTAAGACAAAGAAATTTTCATTCGACGGCTAAAAAAAAAATATTGTGAAAAAAGCTTCAACATATAGAAGATAAGATCTGCTATTATTTTAATGCGCTGTCAATAAAATAACGGGAATTTTGTATTCAAACTTCACATTTGTGCAAGATTCGACCCTGGAACCATCTGCAGGCAAGGCGCGTCTTATTAACTATGCAACATCTGTAGAAAAAGTTTGTTTTTAGTTGCAAGTTCATAACGGACTTAAAAGTATCGATGAGACCTTTTGCTGATCAGTTTCTATTCGAAAAGCGCCTTCAACGAATTAAAATTTTGTTTGCAGTGTCAAAAATCAAGAGCGAAAGATGAAAGGGAAGGCTTAAGGAAAAAAACTGCTTTGACTCGTGTGTGACTTGAAGAAACGGCTTAAGTACCTATATTTTGAAAGAATGCGTTTATTAGATTTTACAAAGCCGCGACTTAAAACCGAAAAAGTTTTGGGTATGAAAAGCGTTGTTGTTCTTTTCTTTGCGAAGAACTCTTCTTTTTTTTTTTATTACTTTAAAACTATTTAATCGCCGGGAGGTGTAATAGCTTTGCTAATCTTTGTGCATACGCTATGCGCCGCCTTTCTAATGGAACTCCAGCCGGCTTTTTCGTTTTCCGAACTCCTAGACTACTACAGTACGTAAAAAACAATCGTTACATCGTTTGGCGCGACCGAAGGCCAGCCAACCGAGCAACTAAAGATGATCCTGGCAAAATTCTAAGACTCAGTTCGGAAATATCGTAAGTCTCTTATATTAGGGTGCTATTGAGTCTGAAAAATTTGTATGCAAGTTTTAATAGTTGGCCTGCAATTTACCATTCCTGGCACTTTTTTCAGAGCATTAACGTCTATATCTGCAGCATAACTATTTATTTTCTTGCTGTTGTTGTTATTGTGTGCTACGCTCTTAAAAGTATGCACACATAATACTTTTACGATACGTATTCTAAAAAAAACAATAACTATTATCAGAATAGAAAAAATTGTACACAAGGATAACTACGGGATCTAGAAGTGTACAGATATATTCTATATATACATATACACTTACAAAACCATATGCAAAATAGTTGTATTCACGTCTGTACATGTCAATGCTTCTGTTGTTATATTTTTTTAGGCTTTCATCACAATATGTTTTTTTTTTTTACAATAAAAAAAAGAAGAAGAATATATATATTTTTTCTATATTTAGTTGTTATGTTGTTGGTGCATTTGTTCTATTTCTCTACGTGGTTCTTGCGCCTGAAATATCTTTGTCCTTGTGAACATCAAAGCGTTTCTTTTGAACCTTTGTCCAGATTCATTTTCTATTTTTTATTTCATTCTTTGCATTTCATTTTTTCGGAACTTTGGTTATTAACTTTTGAAATGTAAGCACAACTCATACCCTGACAGAAAGGGAACGAATAAATAAACAAACAAACGAACGAATGTACGAACGAACGAACGTACAGCATAAACAAGCAAACCAATCGACATTTATAAAGATTTTAGGAAATTTAAAGTTTTTTTCCCAACCATTCAAGTTCAAAATTGAACACAAACACACTAATGTTATGTATAAGTTTTGCTTTTTTTTGTCAACTGCACATATTACTAATGTAGTTGTTGCAGAAAGAAAGTTTTCTGCCATCCTTAAGAGGCATTTTAAACCTTTCTTAATGTTAATAACAAAGATTGATTTTCTCGTCTAATCCGGTGCTCTCTTAAATAAATTTCTTTCGTTTCTCCTATTTTCATGATTCAGTTTATCTTTCGTTCACTGCTCGTTTTGCATATGCCACGAATTTTCATGTTAAAGTGTGTAGGTAGCGAAAACGTTGACAGCTAGCAGTGATTAATGCGTTAAACAAATGTCAATAATATTTTCCTTCGGTTTAATGATGCAACTATTGGATTAAGTTGATCCCGGCAAGTACGCAATCATTTCGCCTATGGTACGGTCTTGAAGAAAATTCTTCTTGGCGAGAAGTTACATTCAATTCTCGTTTTTCCAAGAAAGAAAGGATTGAAGTTTTTTGTAGATCACGTCAGTCAGAGGTAGGTGACATGCATTTCCAACACCCGTACGAAGAAAGTATGAGAACGCTGTAGAGGTTTGTTAGCGCTCTACCACAAGGATGCAGAAGAGTCAAGGAGAGAAGAGTTTTCCCACAGTTCCCTTATTGTTCTAAAACACCGAAGTGTGTGACAACCCCTTTGCCAAGACTTTTATAAAACGGTTAAAGAAAGGTGATGATATTTAGATAGAACAAGATGTTTCAGGAAAAAAAAACTTCTTCTTTGCCTCTCGTGAAAAGTTGTTGTCGTCGACCGTGGTGGCGGAAAGAAACATATCAACAGTCATGGAAATAGGAAGAAGCAAGCTGACGTTGTGTTTCGAGAACAAAAGAAAAGAGCAGCAAATTGTTGCTTAGTAAGTACTATTTAACCAGCATGAAGAGCAGACAATATCAGCGTAGTTGGTAATATGTGTGGAGTACGCAATCGTCCCAGGAAGAGGTCATATTATATTGCTGTTATTCTACGACAGAAAAAGTGGACTACAGATGGATCACATAGCAAAACTCGGTGAATCACCTCATGTAGAAGATAGGCACTTAAGCACAGTAATTCACCACGTCATGAAGCGTATGAAAATATTCCCTACAATAAGATTCGTGGTCGTTGCACATAGCAAAAGGTGTCTTGGTCAAATACCATATCAGCCACATCACTATTTTAGAATTGAAGGAACAAAACATGTTCGTTGTTTGAAGGATATTGAAAAAACATATTACTTTGCTATTATTTTTCGAAATGAGCGGACAACAGTCCGATTAGTATAAGTACTCAGCGAGTTCTGGAGTAAAAAAAGAACTCCGAATAAGGCATTTTTTAATCCGTTGAAGAGCGGTAAGAGCATGTCAGTTGACACATCCCGTTTTTTCCCAGAATTCGACAAGCACAGCAGCGAAGCATCAACAAGCAAGCCCCTCTCGTTATGAATTAAAAATAAAACAAGTAAGAAAATTGTATTCTGCGAGGGGCGAATCCATGCTCACCACTACGCTTTTTGCATTCTACTCTCCAAGTTCTAATATTTGATACCCATATCGCTGGTATTATTTAAAACAATGAATCCACCAGGTGGTGGTGTCTACCATATGCATTTTAGAAATGACCCATTTTTACGCGGATAATATATGTTCATTTAAGGAATGTACAAAATAGTTTTAAAAGTTTTGTCTTGTTCGCCTTATGATAAATGAGCGTTAAACCTCAAAAATGTGAAGAAAAAGAAGAAAATTTAATCACTTTGTGTGGGCATGGCCGATTTTTTCAATTTTTGTACCTAGAGAATAGGATGAATGTGGAAAATACTAGTCTTCAATCTTTTATAATTTCTGAGTAACGAGCAAAAACACACAAATTTTTGTTAAGATATACGGCGGAGCTGCGTTCAAACAGATGAAAACAAACAAAATGAAAATTTTATACCCCATCCTTCAGTGATGGAGATTTAGATTTGCCCTTCAGTGTGTTAGATATAGAAACACGCAGGTGAGAGACCATATAAGATGTAAAAATATTCCATTCCGCGTTGATTTAACTTTTCGTCGTTGTCCAATGGATCAATAGTTCATTAGATCGCTTGTTGACCAGTTTGCTTGTTGACCCGTGCGCTTGTTTGCAAATAATAGTAGAAAGTGGAAATTGGACAAACATTCTTTTAGTTGGTTGTCAGGGATAAAGATGGAAGAATTGTTATAAATAGTTGGTTAATGTTTTCTGTAGGCGATGGCCACAAAGCAAGCTTTTAAAAAGCAATGTCGCTACAATCATGTCCACAATAGGTAAAAATCGTAGGCGCTGTGAAACAATTCTTTGCGGGTATTCATCTGAAACTTCGTGCAAATATTGAACTTCAAACCCATTAAGGCTTCACGGAAGGTCTTCTCTCATCTGCTTCATATACCCAGTAAAGGCAAAAAAATTTGAGTGAATGACGTATATGAAGATGTTGAACGCGTTGCAAACACTTCGTTAGCACAAACGATTCTTAACAAGTGGACTGACACAACACATTCACATGTCATATATTAACAGAATATTTTATAAGTTTTATACATTAATTACAAGTGTTGAATTCTAAAGATACACCGCAAGAGCAATATAACTTTTTTTGTTTAATTTATTTAATTAAAATTTTATTTTGATTGTTTGATGAACGCAGAGAAACTTGAAGAAAATTAATTTAATTTTTTTTTTGTATTACTTTTTAAATCTTTTAACAACTTTTTTTTTCGAAGATATTATTTTCTAAAAATTCAATTATTGGAA